GTGCCGTAGCTGAATCATTCTGCAGCTGCTGCGCCTGCTCTTGTGGCTCCTCCAGCTGCTGTTGCTGCACCACCTCCCGCTGCCGCTGCCAAACATAGTTTTCAGCCTGCGGCCTGTCCTGCTGCGCCTGCTGTGCAAATGGCGCCAGCGCCAGCAGGTCGGCATCATGCATGGCGTCCGTAACCTGCCGAGCCGCGCCCAACATCTCCTCCCCATGCACCTGCGCGGCAGTCTCCGAAGCAACTCCCGCTGGACCGCCGCCCTCACCGACCAGCGCTGCAGCACCCACCGCTGGCGCCCCTGCTGCTGCCTCCACCGCCAGCACCGGCAGCCGCCCGTGGCCGCTGGCTTCTATCGCCGCTGCCTCCTCCGCTGCCGGCGCTGCACTTGTGGATGACATAAAAGGAAGGATGTTACGGACCGTTCCAGGGGCAATGGATGTTCCGAAGCTGCCGGTCCCAGCGGCGGCCCCAGGCGGGGCTGCAGCGGCAGCGGTAGCAGCAGTGATGGCCCCTTCCGGAATTGTAGCTGTGAACGTGGACGGTGCCGACGGCAGCTGAGGGCCGGACCGCATTCCCGCCGCCACCGAGGGGATGCTGTTGCCAGGTGCAGGTGCGCCAGGGATGATGGCCATGCCTGCGGCCGCGGCGGTGGCGGCAACCACGACCTCAGGTGGCAAGACGCCGCCCTGTGTGCATCAGCGGCAGCCGGAGAGTTGATTTTCCTTTTTCATTGTGAGCTGAGAAAGAAAGATATGTCGGGAAGGCGGCGGCAAAATTGGACGACAGGCAGGAACGCGGTCGAGGCAAGGGGGGCTTTGTTGTTTGTACGAAAATGCCGCATTGCTCTCCAATCGCTTTTCCTGAGCAGGACCACTCTCCTCGAATCAATCAACTACTCCGCCTGTTCTGAAGCTGTCCTGAGGGGTGACACCTACATCACGCCTGCATGGCGCTTCCCCAGTGGCAGAGGCTCTCACGGCCACTCCACAGTGGTGTTTGAGTGTTGTGCTGCCTCACCTCACGTCCTCTTACACCCCCTCGCCTTCCTGCGCCTCACCACCCCTCACTACCCAGTCCCGCGTCCCCCAATATTACCTGTAACAACCCCTTCTGGCTCCGCGCAGCGCCCGCTTCATAACTCGCCATTCCATCCTCTCCCTTCTCCATCCTCTTCCTTAAACCACCTACCCATCCCCCTACCTACCCCACTACTCACCCTACCCCACTACCCACCCCACCCCGCCCGGACGGTATTCACTCCACCACACCTGCTGCAGCAACCTCAAAGGCATCGGCACCAGCACGTACGCCTCCTCCCCATCCGCCACAAACTGTTGCAATGCCCCGCTACCGCCGCCGCTGTTCCCATGGCCGCCGCCGCGGCTGCTGGCGGCCTGCTGTGTTGCCGTCGTCGCTGCCGTTGCCGCTGCAGCTGTCGCGACGGTGGGCGGCTCCCTGCTATTGCTCCTGGAAATGGAACACCGAAATGGTCCGCAGGGACCGTCCGCCGTCGCGGCAGCTGGGCGACTATCGCTCTGCTCGCTGTTGCTGGGCTCCTGCTGCTCCTCCTGCTGCTGCTCCTGCTTCTGCTGCTGCTCCTGCTGCTGCTCCTGCTGTTGCTCCTGCTGTTGCTCCTGCTGTTGCTCCTGCTGTTGCTCCTGCTCTTGCTCCTGCTCTTGCTCCTGCTGTTGCTTGCCTGTTTGATATCGCGGCAGTGGTGGAGGCAGCGGATTACAGGCAGAAAGGAGAAAGGAGAAAGGAGAAAGCAGCGCAACGCCCTTTTACAGGATGTGCGCGGGGAATCTGGGATATGTGCATCCACGGCTGCATGCAAAAGTGCCAGCAATACAGTGCAGTGCCCCCACACAAACTACCAAAACACCAGAGAAGATACGCACAGGGAGGCAGACACGTAGCACGCAAAGAAAGCCAGGTTGCGCCAGGCAACAGTGGTCAACTCATTGACAAACCCTAAGAGCCAACAGCCGAGAGCCGAGCCCTGCATATGGGTATGTCTTAATGCTCTTGCGGTGTCTGCGTCCACTAGTGCGATGGGGTGGCATCGGACGGCACAAGAAAATATAATAAACAGCGTCAACGGTTTGCGTAGGGAGGAGGCTCCAAGGTTCCAGGCTTTTAAATCTACCAGCCCCTGCAGTTGCCCACAGCCCGATGAGAGTGAGAGCAAAGTCAAGAGAACAGTCAGCGGGTTCCTTCCCTCTTCGTTACCTTGGCCAGGGGCTGCCGGGGGCTGCCGCCTTACGCCGCTGGCGGATTCCTGTCCAGGACCTCGTGCAGGGCCGCCTCTGGAGGGCGACTTGGCGCCGCCTCTGGAGGGCGACTTGGCGCCGCCTCTGGAGGGCGACTTGGCGCCGCCTCTGGAGGGCGACTTGGCGCCCCCTCTGGAGGGCGACTTGGCGCCGCCTCTGGAGGGCGACTTGGCGCCCCCTCTGGAGGGCGACTTGGCGCCGCCTCTGTGCATTCCTCCCCCCTGCACTGCCGCCCCGGACCCCGGACTGCCTCGGGAGGACCCCGGGGAGCGGGACAGCCGACAGTGTGACGGGTGATCGCGGTGGGGCAGGCCAGAAGCTTCCTCTGGCGGCCGCTTGTAGCCACCGCCACCACCACCACCATCGCCTCGGCGCCTGTGTCTAACATGCGCGAGGTCCAGATGCTCATGGCCACTCACAGGCTGCCGGTCTTGCTTGTGGCCTCGCCCTTCACGTTCTCCGTCCCGCGCCCGCGGCACCCGATTCCGCTCACGCTCGCGGTCACGGTCGCGGCCGCGGTCGCGCCCTGATGGTTCGGATTCTCGGGAGCCGCGTCCAGAAAGCGGCGGCGGTGGCGGCGGCGGCGGTGGCGTCTGCTTTGAGGACCGGTCCGCGTCGCGGCTGGGGAAGGCCGCGGTCGCGGCCATGTCGCGGTCGCGGCTCCCTGTTCCGTGGGAACGGGGATAGAGGTGATGATCTGTGGCTCGCCGTGTCATCCAATCGACTGGGGACCGGGAGCGAGACCTTGATCGGCGGCCCGCGCCACCGGCGCCGGGTCGGCGGCGAACCCAAGCGTCGGCCGTGCAGCCACCCTCCCGGCCGCCGCCGCCGCCGCCGTTATTGCCGTCACCGCCACCGCCGCTGCTGCTGCTGCTGCCGCGGTCAGCCCTACGGCGCTGCTCAGCTAGGTGGCGATCGCGGTCGCGAAATTCGCGGCTTGCCCTGTGCGGGTTGGGGCCGTGGTACCATGGTGCCGTGGGAACGGGGTTGCCTCCACGCAAGGGGGGGTTCCGACTCTAGACTCGGATCTTGGCCTTGGTCCCCGGTCCCATCTGGGTCAATGTCCACGGCATTGTCTAACGTTTCCAGTTTTCAATCCGGATATTAATCCGGATCCTGATATAGAATACAACACCGAGCGAGCGAGTGACCTTTCCTCACACATGGCTCTTTACAAGACGCAAAACGGCACACGCGAGGAAATGTTTTTTGCTTTGTTACGAAAGACAAGACACGAAGGTTTGCCGTGCGAGACGAGCCACGGAAAGGTTTCCTGTGCTCGCACCTTTGTATGAGCTCCTCCCGGTCACGGCTCCCGCTGCGGCTTCTGCTCCGTGTCCGCCGCCGCCGCGCTTGTCGTTCTCTGTCGTACCCCTCCGGTGGCTCCCGCCGCATCTCTTGACTCCACGCAAGCTCCCGATCCCCTTCCCGCTCTCGACGCCTATCTGGTTCCCTCTCCCTCTCAGCCTTCTGCTCTCGTTCCCGACTCCAACCTCGATCTCGATCCGGATTCCGATCCGGATTCCGATCCGGATTCCGATCCGGATTCCGATTCTGGCTAGGACCTTGACCGCCATTTTTGACCACCTGGCGATCTTGGCTTTTCCTGAGCCCTAAGCCGTCGTGTGACGCCATGTCCCCTCTGACGCTGACGGCCTCCCCTACGGGACAACCAACGCCGGCGCCGCCATCGCTGCCACCTTCATTCGGACGGGAGCCCGTCCGGCCACGCTCGTGCCGCCTGCCTTCCACCTGCCCAACCCCACCTCCATCCTTTCGCTGCTGCTGTAGGTCCTGTTGCTGAAGGCTACGCCGACGCAGTAGTGGAAGCGCTGGTGGCGATGGCGGTGGCGGCGGAGGCACAGACTGCTGTTGCTGTTGTTGTTGAGGTTTTTCCTCCTCCTGTCCCTCCTGTTCCTCCTCCCCTTGCCGCCTTTGCTGCTGGTCATCCTCCTTTTGAGCTCGAGACGGAGAGTACAGCCCGCCAGCGAGCCAGGGAGCCAGCGGCTCGTCAGAGGTGCCGTACAGCTCACCTGGCCTGCTGTACAACGGCACATAAGCTGGTAGTACGGCGGCTTCAGTCGCAACTGCGGTAGGCATTTTCGGCTCGGGCGCCGGATGCACCGGCAGCGGCGGCGCTAGTTTGTTTCCCTGCCGTTCTGCATGCTCCTGCAACAATCCCCTGGCCCGATGTGGCCGATTCGGCTGCGCTGGCGCGGGCCGCGGCGGCAGCTTTGCGGACAGCACTGCCGCCGCCGGGGCGCCTTCTTTGCTGCGGTCATCCGCCAAGGCTGCTGGCAGTCGCACGTGTGCGCCCAAGGGACCACCAAGACGGCCGGGCTCGGGTAGAGTGGTGGCGGCGGCTGCAGGGGCAGCAGCGACCCGCGGTAGAGGTGGCGGTGGTAGCTGTGGGGCCTGCGGAAAGGCCGGCTGACGTGCGGGTGCGGATGCGGGTGCTCTCTGCGGGCCAGCCGGCTGTGTCCAGGGGCGCTGTGTGGGTGCGCCTGGAGGAGTGATTTCCACCTGCGGGCGGGGCCCGGTAAGCCGGGCAGGCGCGGTGTGGTGTGATGTGTAATGCGGTGTGATGTGTGGTGTGATGTTGTGTGATGCGCCGGGCGAAGGTGGGATGTTCCGGCGGACTATTTTAATAGTACTGTATCGCCTAGGGCGCGGCTAAGCGCGTGTTGTTCAGCTGTTGTTGTTGTTGTTGTTGTTGTTGTTGTTGTTGCTGCTCATCGAATCTATGGAAATCTGTGGAGATTTATGGAACTGCACTCACCCAAACGCTTTGCATGGATGTTACCTGGGCCAGGAATCGGGAACGGGTGGGCAGCGGACCGAACACGGGGGGTTGTATAGTGGCGTGTTGGGGGTGCGAGGTGGGACATGTACGGAAGCGAGCATCAGCACCATCAGCACCCCATGTGGCACCCCAGTGGGGTACATTTGGATAGTAGGACTCATAACACAAGCAGGACACCAACGACCAACTGCCTACGTTTTCCAACCGCCACGATTGCCACAGTCCAAAGCGAGGCAAGGGAAACACGCGCTGACGTCATATGATGTCACCGTGGAAAGACTCTTCACACCATCCCAGCTAACCGACATACAGCCCAAGGATAGCACCGGATGGGCCAACCCGTCAAACAACGTCGCCTGAGCGCAGTACTGCACACTGCACGTCATTTTTGGGACACCACACCACACCACACGACACACCACCGCACCTTCAGCAACTTGCAGCCGTTCATCCGCAGCTGCGCCGCCAGCCGTTGCGCGTCGCCCTCCCCAGGAAACACGATAGACGCGCAGCGCTGGCCCTGCGAGTAGTCCATCGTGATGACCGGCCTGCGAGCGTGATCAAGACCAGGAACAGGATCAGGACCAGTTGGGGCCCTAGCGCATCAACACAAACAATTAGAAAGCTCCGTACGACACAGAATAGCCCTCTATGTGCTCTATGTACTGTATCAGCTGTTCATAGGCATTAAGCTGCGGAAAAAACTCCGAAGCCCTTCTTGCATCTGTTCCAGCCTTTCCGTCTTCACAAAACGGCGGATGCTTGCTACAGACCTGCTTGCCATGGGAGTGGAGTGCTGCGGGGTGGGTAAGGCGCAGTCTCAGGAGCGGCGCACGGCTAGTGGTGGACTGCCGTCCAGCGCAGACGTGCATAGCAGCAACCGGGTCTCGTAGTTGATTCAGCCGTCCAAATCAGGACTGACGACTGACGTTGTTTCGTACTACTTGTTTCATATGGTCGGACTCTTTCGAAAGAGGCAGCAGCAGAAGCAGTAGTAGTAGTGGCAGTAGCAGCCGCTGTCGCCGCCGGGGGCGCGCGGCCTCTTAGGTAGGTATCTCGCTACTGCTACTGCTACTCACCTCTGACCGCGTTCATGGACCACGCTCCTAACCAGCTCAGCCACCGTGGTCTCCGTGGGCATAGGAACACCCTGCGGTCAGCAACCGTCAAACACAATAGCACACACACACAGGCACACACGCACGCACGCACACGCACATACATACCCATGTACATACATACATACATACATACATACATACATACATACATACATACATACATACATATACACACATGTTGAACTGCAGCAGGGCAGTAAGAGCAGCAGCCTTTGGGCCATCCTAGCACTATACCGAGCATAGACACCGACCGTGCGCACACGTGTCTCTCCAAAACGTTAAGAGCGGCCAAAGCTCTCAAGCCCCAAAGAGAAGAAACGAACGTAAGTGGACACCGTAATGGAGATGCAGGCTACGCCGTTTCTTGAAACGCAAAGCACACGTCGCTCTGCCGGATAACTGCGGGATACGTAACAGGAAGCCGATGCAGCCCGGCCCGGGGCCGACGTTTTTGTAGTGCTCCTGAAACTCCCTTATAACTGGGCAGCTTTAGCTTGTCCTAAAATCTGTGCGGGCCCAAAACCCAAAACACACCCGGGTCGTTCGCCGTACCCTGCCAAACCAGATGAGCAGCCGCTCGCCTCCAAAACCCCCAGCGGCAGCACCACCGCCGCTGCCAGGAACCGCAACGCCAGCGGTGTCACCACCGCTGCCTCCATGACCTGGCATCGAAGCCAGCTGGTGCTTTGGCTGCTGCTGCTGCTGTCTTGTGTCGGATGGCGGCGGCGGTGTCCGGCGCAGCAATCCAGGCGGCGACAAAACAGCTGCCGTCGGCGCCGCCGTCCCCGTCAGAGACCTCATTGCCGCCGCATCCACCACCACCGGCCGACGAGCGGTCGGCGGTGCGCCGGCAGCACCGCCGCTAGCATCAACACCAGCAGGCGGTTTTCTGATTGTCGTTGTGGCCGATTTTAGGTCGACGAGGCTAGACAGCTGTAGTCCCCCCACTGTGCCGCTAAGTGAAAAGGCCCCAGGCCGGCGGTACGCAGCGGCGGCGGTGGTGGTGGTGGCGCTTCCAGGTCGTGTCCCCGGCGCGGTGCTGGCCGCCGCGGTGGCGGCGCCAGTGCCGCCGCCGCTGGAGGCACCGCGGCGCGCGGAGATGTCTACGATTCGGTGCAATGGGGCCTCCATAGCGGCCAAGTCAAGCTCATCTTCCTCCGGGGTCGCAGAGGCCGGCTTGGTGCCGGGTGGAGGACGAGCAGCAGCCGCTGCGACCGCAGCAGCAGCAGAACCGGCGGTGCGCTTTGCCTGTCCCCCTCCGCCGCTGCCAGACGAGC